AAGTCACGACGCAAAATTTGCCAAGTGGTCTGCGAATTTTGCAACGATGTTTTCGGCAGAGCTTACGTTTCGTCGATGTACGGATGTTGGTCGATCGTTTGCTGAACCAGTAGACTCAAATTTATCCACCACATTGCGAATATTCCACTGGGTAGGGCGATTATGGTGATCGTAAAATGGGCGGAGCGCGCGGTACATTGTCTGAACAGAACACCCATTTTGATAATACAATTTCATTATTTGCGCTTGTTGTAATGCTATGTCCGTCCATTGTGATTTGGCAAAACAGACTGAATAAAAACTAATTTGACAGATATATGATGGAATCGGCCGATACTTGATGAAAATCCATAACTAACGTATTCCAAAAACACTTTATTGTGAGATTTTCACTAAATTGTTTTACAAAAACGCAACACGATAATTTGACAGATATAGCTTCAACAAGATGGCCGTTATCAATTGTCAAAATTAGGAAGTCCCTGCTGAAACACCCTATAGATAAGTGGAAAGTAAATTACTCCTCAATTCTACTTTCAACGGTAGATAACGAAAACTGCGTTATTTTTCAGTATAGGCATCGTATTCCGAGTACTAAAAAGGCATAGGCATTTCTTGATAAAAATTGAGCTTACTACACAATGAAAAATTAGTATTATAGTAAAAAGTGTTTGAAATTTTTAATTTGGTAGATTGTCTCCATATCGTTTATTCTCGATATTTCAATAAAACTGGGAAGCTCTGAAAAGAGAAATGACTCATGTTCTTTGAAAAGAACAGAGATATCGCTTGAATCCTAATACCATTTTAAGATGAGGTCTTATCCCGCCGAGGGGATGATGGGGACAAATTTGATAATATGCCCAAAGGATTTCCCCCTCGAAGTAAAAATAAACTATGAGAAATGCAGGAAAGTTTTCCGTTCTCTTAATCTCAAATCCATAATGCGTGTTTTATTTTCTATACCATTGTTATTCATATCTTGATTAACGGCTCCAGATACCTGCGAATCGATTCAAGTTCATTTTCGATCTGTGGCGTATATTTATAACAGAAATATAGGCTTCATGATTCGTACTGTACGATGAACAATGTAATTATAATTAATATATATGCTAAAACCATGATGCTGCTCAACTACAAAACGTTCCACGAACAATCCAGCGGCGTTGTATTCAAATCCACTTTGGAACAATCTGATAACTTCTGATTCGAAAATTTTATAAAATTAAATGTTCGACAAACATTAGTAAATCCAAGCGAGAAAGGATTTACATCCGGTTGATCACTCCCCGGATTCATGGCGTCGCGTCGTGTTCATTTTCATGATATTCGAGCTCGGTACGTTTCGAATTATGGAGCACGCCTGATGAATCGTAAACCTAAAAGCTTTCCTGAACAATTATGTCGATGGCGTTTCTATAGCAGGAATGACATTGAAATGTCAGTTCCGTCCGTATAGAGGTTACATATTTTTTCCAAAATTTACACGGCGATATTTTATGATATTTTTTTCGTGAATGATTTATTGTTTTTTGAATTTTGGATAACGGTTCGTACTTCAGTAAGGTTTCGACTTCTTGAAATATTATTTTGTTCAACAAACATATAGAACGTGCAACAAATTTTTAATAAAGCCAAAGTTGCCTACTGCATTTCAAAACCAAAACCCAAAAACCAAACATTCGCGAGCCAAAAAAATCATTTTTGACCTCAAAGGACTAGCTTTTCTAACTTTGGCTCATCCTTTGAGGATAGTTGAGTCCAGGGACGCATTTGTGGTTCCGCCTTACACCACTCATGAAACATACGGCGCTCTCTGGTGGTGGATCACTAAAAATGCTTTGTTTTCGGACTTTCGTTCCCACTAGTTATCTTGAAGTGAAAGCTGCAATGGACGAATCTTGTCTGGCAATCAATGTCAAAACTTAGCGTTGCAACATACTGCTTTTGAGAGCCACATTTATCTTTGATATTCATAGATTGAGTCTTCCATCGATCCCATAGATGACTAATTCGTAAAGGGAGATGTCATCGGCTTTCCTTACTCAGGATGGAACAGTTACGAACATACAGATTACGTGAAGATATTTGTGAAAGTCTACATTGAAAGCTAAACGTTAGTGAAGATTAAACTCAGTAATGTTGCCAAAAGAGAAAGTAATAACCTGGGTGCATTTTGGAGGCTGCATTATTTTGTAAAGGGGAATATATTTCATCTTCAGTTATTTTTTTCAACATTGAATCAAGTAACCAAGATAGCGTTGTACTTCAAAGCAACTTTAAATCTAGAATAAACCAATTCATTAATATTTGAAACTCAGAAAAAAATAACAGTAGTTTCATGATGTGAAATTATAAATCAAGTACCATTGTGAAGTCAGACATCGTCTCTCAAAATCATAACTTTTTTCAAACATTCGTCTAGTTAGTACTACATATTGATTCATATCAATTGTTTGTGTTCGATTTGGAATGTTTCCATACGTAGCCAAGTATCCGAAGGTGCTTGACGGAACAAGTGAAAATTCATTACTTTCAAAAGTCGTGAGAACTGTTCGAAAAATGTTCCATTTGAAGGTATCGCTGATATTGCCTATACATCTTCATTCATTGTCGAAAGAAATGTATATTGGCAGGCGACGAACAAATTAGCATAATTATACTTTATATTCCATTATCATTGTATATTGATTCCCATCTTTCGAGTATTTTTCAACTGATTAATTCGAATATTTTTGTCATACATTTAGATTTCCTTTTCTTAGATATCGAATCTGTTAGTACTTTTTCAAACAATATAATCCTGAACCCCAATACTCATGTATGTGGTGCTGCAGGTTTTTCCGGGGTTTCCTGCAGCTGAAAAAGCAAATGCGCCACTGGAACCAATGAAGTCGCCCTGGAGCGCCAATTAATTTTTATTATTGTTTTTATTTTTATCGTTGTTTCATCAATCAGTTCATAAACACTTTCCTTTAAAAAAAAGTATCTGATATATTGAATAAAAATACTCACTATAGATTAAAGTTGTCATTTTTGGACTACCTGCATATGAATCTTTTTCATCTCGTCAAAAGTATAATATTCTTTATTGCCATAAAATCAACTTTTATCGACGTATCATATGCGAATTGATACACTAAACCTGCACCAAGTGACTGGAAGGTCATTTACATATATCAGAAACAATATTGGTACCAGAATAGACCCCTGTGAAACTACTTGAGTACTGAGATTTCTATTAGAATAAGTTTGTTCGTCATTTTGATATATAGCTACGACTTGGTATCTTCCAGACAAATATGATTTTATAAGGTCGTATGCATTACCTCTAATTTAATATTCTTCTAGTTTATCAGTAAAATAGTATGACCATTCTTCTATTTCTTCGATTCTATTCCTTCCATTTCTTCTTCTTTGTCATCTGAAACATTTTTAAAAAAATTGGTTTTTGCCAATTCAAATGTTTGTATTCGAACAACACTAAACTAATAATTCAAAAATGAAATTATTCGCCAGCGGAGTAAATAATGAGTACGGAAGTCAAATAGTGGTGAAATCTTGATTTTTGCGTAAGTGAATAGTTACTTGGAATCGAACAAACACGTACAGTTAAATTAATCCAGCCAAAATAATGTATACGTCGAGAAACTTTCCAAATAGTTCAGATGTAAAGAACACATAGAGTGAAATTCAGTTAAAATACATTGTTAAGAATCACGCTTTGTCAACAACTATAGGTTGTTCACGTTAAGAAGAGAATGACGTCAAGATGACAAGTTACGGCGTTGCCAACATGTGCCCTATTTCGAACTTTCAAATTTTTTTGTACTGTTGATATGTTTTATTGCTATTATCCTTACCTACTTTCAGTATTTGTTGAGACTATTTCGACAATGCTTTAGACATATTGAATATACACAGGTCTTATCAAAAGAAATGATTAGTTCTGAAAAGAAAAGAAAGACTGACAGTTTTTGAGTTTTTTTCGATTCGGCAACATTTTAACTTAACTATTAGTTGAGCAACTCACAAAATGAAATGTTACTAGCTTCTGCTGTTGAACGCATTTCAGTGGGAATTTTAACGTTGTTATGTTGGATATACAAAGTTACCAAAAATGACGTCATTCTCTTCTTAACGTGAATAGCCTATACTAAATAAATTTTCATTAGATCATTCCATGAATTTGTTCACAAACGTGAAAGACTCGATGGGAAAGTATACAGCCACAGCATACCTAACCAGCACGGACACTCTCTTGGGCGGAAAAAGTACGCGCATATACTTCGCGTCGCTATGTCGGCAATGTTGAAAAGCATTATGTGTTGTTGGTCATATGCCCCTGAAGATAGGAAGCAACGACCATCCAAAATAGAGAGAGAGAAATTGTGTGTTGCTTTATTTTGTGATTGTTTTATTATTATTACAATGGATAAACAGAAAAAAAGTGGTCATATTTGTGCTGTAGTGAACTATAGAAGCAGCAGGTTAAAGACAAATAAGAGTTTATTTACGTTTCCAAAAGATATTGATAGGTGAGTCAAACTCTTTCATAAATATTATTTGAATGTATCTTGAGGAGGTAGGAATGTCTTGAAATCAATGCTTGTAATCCATTTTCTGTCTTTTCTCTTCCCTGGAAAAAGCTCGGAATTGTTATATTATCTGTCTAGGGCAAATTGGAATATTTGCCTACATACATAACTGCAATATTGCAATCTTTCCCCTTGCCAACATTTCGGAAGTTTCTCTGCTGCCCCTTTCAAGCCTTTTTTGAAATATTTTCAACTGAATTACAACCTCAGATCTGATAAGAACTCAAGAGTTTTTTCATTTACAGGGTAGAGAAATCCTAAAAAATGGATTCATGAAATCTTTCATAATCGTTAGGTAGAATCTTAGCATTTCCCTATATTATGTGATCACTTAACTATGAAACATTTTATGTTGGATACATTCAACGAAAATTGAGAAGACAAGCATTCACTTGTTATTGAGTATTCTTCAATGTTCCTAAAAGCCAACAAATTTTTTAGGGCTACTTGGGACAGTGGCATGTGGTCGTGATGATTTGAGAGGAAAAGCTGGGAATCTGCATAAATACAGAATGTGTGAAGGGCATTTTGAGGACAAACACTTTCTCAATCACCTTAAAAACAGACTGAAGCCCAATGCTGTGCCATCGATTTTTCCCACATTGGAAAGTTCCTAAAACTCACATTGGGATCACACATACGCTGCATTCACCACAGTAATCGGTAAATACAAAAATTGCAATAAATTTTTTGCAATCATCATGTTAGATTCATCTCATCTGCTGCTAGTTATCGAATATATCAGACATGTTTGTCTCCATATTAGTATCAATTTCAAATGAGTTTGAAGTAGTCAAACAACCGTTGATTGATATTCAGATTGCTTCAAACTTTGCAGTTCTCAATTGTGAGATTGTCCTCATTCAGAACAAAAACAAATCTATCATTGAAACTTAACTCATTTGTATTTTCGGGCACATTTTCATTATATCCAATATAGTAATTGATTTCTTCTTTACAGCTGATGAAGATACTTCTGGATATCAAAACCATCTAGATTCTGAACATTATGTGGTAGATCCAGAAAATTCTGTGACATGCAAAATCATTATTCAGCAGAATATTCTTTTGAACCCAGGTAATAAAACAATTCTGTATCATAATAAGAAATTGGGCATTTTTGTGGAGAGAATAAGGTGTGAATAATTTTTTAGCTCTTTTTCTCAGAATCGAAAAATAGAAATCACCAGTTCTATGAAAAAAGTAAAATCAAAAAAATTACAAACACTCTCTATTGACAGCTATGTATATCATTCAAAGACGTTTGATTCATTCACAAAAAGAAAGAGAAAGTCCAGTTATTCCTCTGCCTATATGCCAACGACAGGCGCTGTGTTAAATGTTTCAAATTTTTTTTCAGATCAGCATCGAGAACCACTACAGCTTTTAAGTACAGCATTACCCCCATTACGTGAAAGAATGATATCTCCAGATTCTTAAACACAAACATCTCCTCATTGCTCAGCTCACACCCCTCGAAGAGAGAATCTTAGAAGTGTTACCAAAAACTTGAGGAACGAGAATTACCGTTTGAAAAATCTGGTTGAGGAGCTGGAGAACATGTTATTGACTGCTAAAAAAAGTTTTGGAAAACCTTTCTTTGCAAGGTTACAAAAACCTGACAAATAAGTTTTGTCCTTCGAAGAATTTGGCTGATTTCATCAATATCCAAGTTTTGCAATCACAGAAAAAACCTAAGGGACGAAGATATTCAACCGAATTCAAAACAGAATGTTTTGGAATGTACTTTACTGGACCTAAGTTATATAAAAATAAATTAGTTAAAACCCTCTGTTTACCCAGCTACAGAACACTATTGAGGCATGTTGAGAATATCAAAATTAAACCAGGATTGAATAATTCAGTTTTGAAGTTGCTACAGCTTAAGGTCAAAAATTTGTCTGAACAAGATAAATTTTGTGTATTGTGTTTTGATGAAATGACAATGAAATCTAATTTATTTTACGACTTAGGCAGTGATGAGATAACCGGTTTGGAAGATTATGGTAATGGGTTAAAATCATTCCATCCAGCTGAAAATGTCACAACATTCTTGGTGAAAGGGCTATTCAGGAACTGGAAACAACCCTTATCGGTTTATTTTCATCGCTCCACCTGCACTCCAGAAAAGTTGAAAGAAATTCTTTTTGAAACTATCTAGGCACTCTTTGAATGTGGATTGAAAGTTACTGTAGTGGTTAGTGACCTGGGATCAAATAACTGGAAGTTGTCAAATATTCTTGGTGTGACTGTAGAAAAACCATTTTTTTATGTGAATGATCAAAAAATATTCCAGATGTTTGATACCCCTCATCTCATAAAATTACCTATTACGTCACCATTTTGTTTTTAAAAATAAGAAGACTCCATGGGAATATATAAAAACTCTTTACCAACATGACAAAAACTATGCTTTGAGAGCTGTTCCCAAATTGACAGATTCCCAAATTTTCCCGAATGGAATTGAGAAAATGAAGGTTAAATTAGCCACCCAGGTGTTGAGTGAAACTGTTTCTGCTAGTTTAAGCCTCTACACCGTGTTAGGAATCACACGTTAAAATGTAAGACCTCGTTAGTCCTCAGCTCGCACAAGTTTCTCAACTTCTGAGAGTAGTCGTTCGTATGGGGGCGACAGCTGATTAACGGAAAAACAGATTACATACGGTTTGGAGTTCTACCAGCAACAGCTGCCCCAACAACTGAAGTTGTGGATAAATTTGATAAATTGTTCGATTTGATGAATTCTTCTACAACAAAAAATACAAAGACATATAATCGTGCTTATAAGGGATTGAAATATCAGGTTGATTTTTTGGAAGATTCAGACAAGTTCCTGAAAGAGTTAATAATTTTGGATAAAAATAGTTGTAATATAACTAATCGACTGAAATTTATTAAAGGCTGGAGAATTTACATTAATGGATTGAGACAGTTATGGACCATTTTTAAAGAATCGAAGTTTGAATACCTCTTCACTCGTAGGATCAACCAGGATAGTGTGGAAAACTTTTTTGGACAAATAAGACAGCAAAATGGGAATTGTAGCAATCCAACTCCCATTCAGTTCCAAAGAAGTTTCAAAAAATTATTATGTGTGAACTTATTGAATTCTGGAACTGAAAACTGTGAAGGTGATACAGACCAAATTTTGTTGAAAATTGCAGATTTTCCACGGCAAAGTAGATCTGAAATTGAGGAAGTGATCACTGTAAAAAACCCACACAATCCATCAATTGATACAGATTATAGATCTCATGACCTATTAGAACAAAATATTATCAGGTTTATATGTGGGTACCTGATAAATTAAACTCTAAAAATACATTGTTGTGATTGTTGCCTTCAGTATTCCAAAACATATACTGATTTAGATGATGAATCTTTGTATTGTTATTTTAGGGCTTATGAAAACGGTAGTCTGGACACCTTTGGAAATTTAAAAATGCCCCATAATGATTTTGTCTATTTTATTTCAACCTTGGAAGTGAGCTTTCAAAATGATTTTGAATCTTTTCTCACTCAGAGTAATGATATACGATTCGTAACTTCCTTCAAAAAATTTGTTTTTGTTCATCCTTGTCAGAATTTTCCTCTTTTTCACTTAATGACATTATATAGTAGAGTTAGACTATATTATTTTCTGAAATATATTAATAGAAATTTCAGATTTCAGAGAAATATTCAGAAAAAAAGAAGAAAAAATGAATTAATTATTTGGAAGCATCAATGAAAGTTGAAGATCCATATATATTCAATGAAAAATTAGAATAATTTTTCACAAAGGTCACGGAAATTTTATCCCAGTTGAGATGAAATTTAAAAAACAATTTACATAATACTTAAAGAATCTATGATAGTTAATATAAATTTCAAAAACTTATTATTTCGTTTCAATGAAACTGTGTTCAACTTCTACTTCACCAAATCATTGAAAATAGAAAACAAAATCCTTCTTTATTAGGTGAAGCTCTCTGAACAGCTGTCATTTGCAAAAACAAATTTGTCTGGGTTACTAGATTACATTCAGATTTCCAAGGTTGAATGAATGAATACAGGTATTTAAGAATTACACTATACTTTTCTGTACAGTACATACATACATGATGTGTAATCTTATAAATGTTATCTGACCGATTCAAGGTACATATGTAAATAATAATAATATACAAACTGTTCAAGTAAAAATCATTTTTATGTAATACAAAGCCTTTAGGAGTAGTTGTTTTAGAAAAAAAACCCTTCCTTTTTGTGAGCAAATTACTTATCTGTAAAAGATACTATAGATACACATACATACATGCATGCATGTATTAACAATTGGATGGTGATATTAAACAAATGAGGTATGCTGACCAAAATTAGATAATCTTTAGTTGAGGATCATACCTTACTATAATCGCCCCTTAATGAAACCTTTTGATTAGAGCTCAATTTCCCATACACCATACTCGTACTCGATGCACGTTTCAGTAACCAAATTAGCATCTTATTAATTGATGTTTAATATCAATTTCACTTCTGAAGATGCTAACTTGGATAGTGGAAACGTGCAACAAGTACAAACATGTTTGGAGTTTAAGAAATTGGACTCCATTCGAATGTTTCTTCTTTAACACCAAAGGTTCCAGTCACATCTACGGCTCTTATAGTATGAATAGAGGAAAATTTCTGCGTGGGTTGCAACAAACCAAACGAGATGATGTTTTCCGTAAACTGATCCTCACATTTTGTGCCAGTCAAATCTAATTCTGAAACCCTATCACTTCTTATATTATTTGAAAGAATTACAAATAGTATCGTATCAATATATTATTCATTATGGTGAATTATGGTGAATTATTCATTATGGTGAATAAAATAGAAATAATCAAATGACGAACCTTATTTTATTAGATGAAGTCTTTTGAAAAAAAAGTTCAATTTCATGAATTATGACAAGATAAAATTTCCAGTACGCCTCTGTTATGGACACCATGTCGCAAGTCTGGCTTTGAGTAATCCTCTTTTCAAGATGGCGTCTTCATACTTTTTGAGATCAAAGGTGGCATCGTAGAGTGTCCGTGCTGATTGTTAGGTATGCTGTGATACAGCTCACAAGAGGAATGCATTTCGCTAACGACCGCAGACTCTCGCAATTGCAACATTTCTAAAAGCAAACTCATAGTAACAATTCCTCCCACGCCCCACAAGAGAATTAATGCTCTTGGTGGAGTTGTTATTTATTTACGTGTTTCGGTTTACTCGTATGTCTAATTTGGGATCAAATACCAACAAGACTTATTACTGGATTTCGATAACCAAAATATTTGTTTCCTTTGCGTGCTTTGTGAATTATTTAATTAGATGGGAAGACATTTATTTATTGACCTGGATCCATTTGAATAGTATTAAAATGATCAATATGTAGTTTGGTTAGATAGGTTTATTGTACAGTTGAGTTTCTTCTGCATGACATATTCTAAGGATGAATTCCAGGATTTTGATTTGCTGGGATAACATGCTGTTGAAGATTCTGTTAGAGAAATGCCTAAAATTGATCGGAATGTAAAACGAATTGTGGAAGATGGAAGTTGTTTCCTTCTAGAAGTTTTTTGCATTCTATTGCGTTTATAAGTACCTTTGCAACATATGAAAAAATATAATATAATTTCCAAATGAAACTCGAATAGGTCATAATTTTGATAGTGAAAACTAGGAATAAGGCAGTAACTTTTCCTTCTAATCTTTTTGTTGTTGACTGTTACACTTTTAAAGATTCACCAAATGTATATTAAACAATTTTACGATACATGAGAAAACATTATTATACAGGACTAGTCAAACACGAGTATTATAATAATAATGATAATAATAGTAATAATCATACCGGCTTGCCGCACTAAGGCATAAATCTTAGCCGGGCGGATGCAGAAAGCTGTCATTCTAGGATCACTGCGGTTGCTCAGGGCACATGATTCTCGGACCCAATGATCACTTACCCCACGGTGTGGGCAGTGGTCATTGGTTAATAATGCTGGGGCGGCCTCCCGAATATATCGGGGCTTCGGGGGGATAGGGCCTGATCAGCACAAACTACGGTTAAAAACAATAATGATAATAATAATTTGGATCCCCTTCTCTGCGTGATCCGTGACCATGAGAGACCAGGAATTGGAGCATTTCTCTTTAAGGCAGCTGCCCGAGCAGCTGATGAACTCGGTTCAGTTTTCGACACTGAACGAGGTGACTACAACTCTGTCATCGAGTTGGAACCCGTTCAGCAAAAAGCTCATATAAAGCCGCAGAGATCACCTCACTTCTGCGAAAACACAAGGATAAGCCAATGCTTCTTCAGTAACATTGGAGACCTCGGCTTATCAAAGCGCCTGACTTTTGCTTTCCTCAGGTCGAGTTGGCTGAATTCGGAAACTGAGGGGATCATCATGACTTGCCAGGATGGTACGTGTCTTCAACACCTTAGTCTACCGCAGTCGCGTGATGGGTATAGAGGTTCCTGACAGGTGCAGGGCCTGCCGCGAGGCGACCGAGAACCTAATGCACTTGCTATCAGCATGTCTGGTATCTGAGGTCTCGGCCTATATCCATCGACATAACGCGGCCCTAAGAGTGCTATATTACCATCTACGGACTCTTACGATATTGACGGGACACCGGTGTTGGCCTACGCTCCGGGGTATATTGAATTTCTTGTAGGGAACGGGAGGTGCCGAATTTATTGGAACTATTCCTTCCCCACCTTCAGGCTCCTAGAAGCTAATAAGCCTGGTATAGTACTTCTCGACCACCAGAGCAAGACAATATTTGTCGTGGAGTTTTCAGCTCCTGGCGAGACGAATATCGTCCGAAAAGAGGAGGAAAAACAGATAAAATATCAAGATTTTCTCTTCGAACTCCGCAAACTTTATCCAGACCACTCTGGATGGTTGTTCTGATTATGGGAGTCCTTGGTGGAATGATGCCCTCTCTACTCTCGAATCTTAAAATCATACCGGCCTGCCGCACTAAGGCAAAAATATCAGCCGGACAGATGCAGAAGAATGCCATTCTTGGCTCACTGCGCTTGCTCAGGGCGCATGATTCTCGGATCCAATGATCACTTACCCCACGGTGTGGGGAGTGGTCGTTGGTTGATAATGCTGACGCGCCTTCCCGAATGTATCGGAACTTCGGAGGATAGGGCCAGACCAGCGCATACTTCGATAAAATAATAATAATAATAATAATGCATAGTATGATGAATTGGCGGAGTTCGGTTATGAGAGCTGCTTTCAAACCCAACCTCAATTGGTATGTTTTTGTTTATATTGTTCGGGCATCAAAAAATCAAATAACTTCAATAAACAAGTAAAGCCGAGAAAAAACACATTATGTGAGAAATTACCCAAATCGTCCCGCATATGTCGTACCATAATATCACTGTCGTGTGAGAAACATATCTTTTAACCTTTTCTTGAAGTTTCTTGAAACTCTGTAGGGATGGTGTTATACAACTTTGTCGCATTAGAGGAGGAACTTCGAGTATACATTGTTGCGGAATGCCTGGGAAAGAGTAAAATATACTTATTACGAGAAGTGCCACTGTGTGACAATGCACAACCA